TTTTTATTTTATTCTATTACAATACATACAGAAATAGTGATACTTCTAGTATTTGCGTCACGGCTCATTAGACGCGAAGACTAGGATATTGCAACTATTTCTACAAAATGTTATGCATATTAAATATTTTACAATTATCAAAATTAAACTTCATTAAAAACTATACATGGTATACAATTATATATGAAAATTTTAACTTAGCTCTATATTTTTTTAATAATATTTATATATTATTTAAATCTGATTAATTATATTCTATTCACGATAATAATCCCTTAATTCAAATATTATTATAAAACTATCGCTATTATTATTAATACAGTGTAGAAGTTCTAAAGAAAAATATACTAAGCTAACTACTAACTCATATTTTCGATGAAATGTACTCTCGTCTCAAAAACTGAATTTCTGAAAAAGTAATGAAACAATTAATAAATAACAGAAATAGTAAAATATCATCGAATAAGATTTTCGTCTAGATAAAAATATTAGGACTCCTTTTGATTGGACTTAAGTTTAAATGGGACTTTAATTTCCTTATTAGGAACTAACGTAAAATATATGGGAGTATATTATAAAAATCGACTTTAACTTTCCGACCGCAATGCAGTTCTTCTTTTACTTCGTCGTAAAGAACTATAATAATCAGCCCATCATTATCGTTAAAAAGTCATTGAATAATATTCAAGGACTTCAGCAGAAGTGCTATAATCTCACTAAATATCAAAGGATGGAATGGACGAGGTTTTTGACGTTTTTGGTTTAATTGCTTCTTAGAATAGAATAGAATAGAATGATTTTTATTCAATATGGATTATTACATAATACTTATTGAAAGTCATTATTTTATTTACTACTGGTTCGGAAAATACCTCTGTCCTGGGAAGAACCAGCAAGAAACCCAGCGGGACTTTTTTTTTTAAACATAATTTCACTTAACAATCATTTTGATTATACAATTTTAAATGAATTTTCATAGAACCAGCATGGTGGCGATCTCCTTATTCCCAGGGGTTATTTTCATTCATGTATACCTTGATATTATAATAACCCTTTTTGTACAGTTTTTCTTTAATAAAACTTTTAAACTTGTTTATTGACAAACTTTGAACATGTTCTGGGATTCTGTTGTAAAAGCGTATACATTGCCCCATAAATGAATTACAAATTCTGTGGAGTCTTGTAAGTGGCATTACAAGCTTATGTTTGTTCCTAGTGTTTAAGGTATGAACATCCTTATTCTTATTAAAGCTATTTATGTTTTTATGTACATACATTACATTTTCATAAATATATTGCGATGCCAAAGTTAATATGTTTATTTCTTTAAATTTTTCTCTAAGGGACTCTTTACAATTTAGATTATAAATCGCCCGTACGGCTCTCTTTTGCAAAACAAATATAGCTTCAATATCAGTCGCATTACCCCATAGCAAAATTCCATAAGACATTACGCTATGAAAGTAACTAAAATACACTAACCTAGCTGTCTCAACATCTGTGAGACTTTTAATCTTTCTTACAGCATATGCTGCAGAACTAAGTCTGCTTGCTAATTTAGATATATGGGGGCCCCATTGAAGTTTCGCGTCAATAGTAATACCGAGAAAAACAGTGGTATCCACAAGACTCAACTCCTCCCCATTTAAGAGCACATTGGTTTTCGAATGTTTTACATTAGGTATTGTAAATTTAATACATTTTGTCTTATTGCCGTTTAAGAGCAAATTGTTGGCGTTAAACCAATGTACTAGTTTCGATAGAGCATTATTTACATCGTCATATTTAATTGACTGCCGTTTCAGTTTGAAAATTAAAGAGGTATCGTCAGCAAATAATACTATATCGTGATTGTCCCCTACAAGATAAGGTAAGTCATTAATATAGATTAAGAACAGGAATGGGCCAAGAATCGAGCCCTGAGGAACGCCCATTGATACTACCGATCCGGAGGAACATTTACCATTAATGACGACTTTTTGAGTTCTGTTACTTAAATATGAAGTAATAGGTTTAAGCGCCAAATTTTTTACACCGTAATGTTGTAGTTTCCTGATTAATGTATCATGATGAACACAATCGAAAGCCTTGGAAAGGTCACAGAAAATACCTAAGGCATCTTGTGAATTCTCCCAGGCATTAAAAATATATTTCATAAGCTCAACACCGGCATCAGACGTCGAGCGACCCCTTGTAAAACCAAATTGATTTTTATGAAGTAATTTATTTGTATAAAAAAAAATTAACAATTGATCCAAAATTATTTTTTCAAAAATTTTACTGAGAGTTGGTAGTACAGAACTTCATCATCATCATCATCATTACAGCCCATGTCCCAAGTCCACTGCTGAACATAGGCCTCGTCCAAGGAATGCCAAAAAGCACGATCCTGAACCACCTGCATCCATCGACTACCTGCATATTTTACCAGATCGTCAGTGCATCTTACGTAATAGAAATATGGAACTTAATAAAATGCCACAGACTACCAGATACCAAAGTTTATACTGGCGAATTTAACGTTTGCAGTCCTCTCAAACCATATTTTTATTATAAAATTTGCTGTAGTATCACGTGACAAACTGTTTATTTGCGTTAAATAGAAAAAAAAATATGTCTCTGAATGAGAGGAAATATCCTATGATTTACTGAAGAGTAAAAGCGAAATGATTGATCGTGTCAAATCTTGTCTCAATTTTCAATAAATTAAGACAAGCTTTGACACGAGTTCGACACACATGAGAGGATTCTGAATCGGATTGTCACATGTGATAAAAATGTATTTTGTAATATAATAATTGGTAATGTTCGTCACAGTGGTTTGAAGTTGAGTTGAAAAAATGACTTTAAAGATTTCAAGAACTCCCACTCTAGGATTACTATAGCAAATGCATTAGGTACTAAGCTATTAAAGATGTTAAAAATTTATTATAAGATCTTTAATAAAATGGATTATATAACATATTTCATATAATGGATTTCTGCAAAATAACTCCTGATTTTATTAATTGCATTACTAAGCTTTAATTTACTTCGATTAATTAAGTATAATATGCAATTCATAAAAAATGAATAGTCCAAAACTATTAATTTGATTTGAAAATTAATATGAATAAATGATAAAATAAAATCGGACTATTGCTTATTTTATGGTCATCCTTTCCAATTCTATTCTAAAACATCCAATAATGTGCATATTATAACACACTTCTCTAAAGATTTACCTGCACATAAATTTACAAAATTACCCTAAAATAATATTCGTCTTATAAACGTGGTTTAGAATAGTCTCGATTACATTATAGCTATGGTTTGGTATGGTCTTTTTAACTAAAAAAGTATCTTTGCCGTGGTGCTGTTTTCGTGAAATTTGACATTTGTAATCAAATTCCTTACTTGTAAAGTAATGAAAGAAAAGTTTTAGTTCGCATCCTATTTCCGGGTTTCATTTAGTACAAGTACTTAATCTAAATCGTTAAAGCCGTTTCACAGAAACCAATTACTTATAACATACACACCTACGAGTATGTTATATTACACTAAATGCTCGCTTAAGGTATTAATTACTTAACTAAGAACGTAATTAAGATAAGGAACATAGTCCAACTCATGGTCTAGTAATATTTTTGTTATTCTATAAGAACATATATATAAAATTTAAGTGTTTGTAATATCCAAATAATTGCATTTTATTGAGCTGGGTGGGCCATTTCCATGAATTCCAATATGACATGAATAAACTCTTTTTTTAATTTTGTGTGCCTTTTCGGAATGATCTTTGGAATGGCTGAACTGATTGTAATGAAACTCCATGGACAGATAGAGAGCAATATCAGGAGTGATCATGTCTATTTCATCCGAAAACTTGGATATATTTTATAACGATTTCGATGGAATTTATGGAATATAGGGGTTTGTGGGGGCGAAAAGTCGATTTAGTTTGGTCTCATTTCTAGAAAATTTCATTTCCTCCTTATTTTCAGGCACAAAGGAACAAATTGATTTTGCGCGGGCAAGTCAAATTTTACAAAAGAAATTATCTTCTCAATATCTAATGGCTGAAGCGTAGGTCTACCACGCGATTTTGAATCCTGCAATGTGGTAAGGTGGTTCTTATTTATTGTTTTTCTTTAATATTCATGCCCATACGGCCCCACACTGCCCTAAGGTTGGGCAATCAGAAATAAATTTTTGTTTGCTGAGTTACATACATTTTTATGGCACTATGCATCCTTTTTAAGCGCGAGGTCGAAGCTTGGGTCGAAAATATATGATTAAATTATTTAAATTAAATTATATAATAAAAATTATTTTTACATAAAATAATTGTTTAATTGATATACAAACGAACCTACAAATACTACTATTTTCAATGGTTAAAGTAATAAAGAAAAAATATATATTATTATGTAACTTATTTCCCGGAAACGGCTCAAACAATTTGGCTAAAATTTCGTAGTTAGATAATGTTTTACTTTACAAGTTTTTCTATATAGATATAATACCTAAGAAAATTTTATTTTATTTCTAAGGCCGAGCAAAGCTCGATTGCTCAGGTAGTTAAACAGATAGTTTAAATTATTAAGTTCGTAGTTATAGAGCTGTTCTTTATCTTATTAATAAATTATAACATACCGTGATATACTCAACCTAGGGCCAAGTTTTTCAGTTTTTTTTTTATAGAATAAGAGTGGCAAACGAGCACACAATCCACCTGATGGTAATGGCCATAGACATCTACATCTATCTTCAATTATGAATCAAAATTAATTGCCACCAAAAATGTTGCAGCGCTACAACCCCATATTTAATAACAAAACAAAAAATAGACTAGCAGTTGTAGCTGTGTATGTGTGTGTATATGTGTCATATATATTTTTAATGAATTTTACTAATTACAGTGTATATTGGGCATTACACATAATATAATAAATGAAAGTACCTGATTTACACTAAATAACGCTCTCCTCCACCACCCTAATTAGGGCGGGCATTTGTCGCTAAAGTGGTCCTGTAACCTACGAACAAAAATACTTTTATATTACTGCATAATTACCTTATTTTCATCTCTTAATGTTTTATAAAATTGCATATTACGAAAAATATTATAAATGTCTGAAAATGTGAACATTGCACAGTCTTTAATAACGATTTTTGTGAGTTACAATACCTGTGTGGTAGGTTCATGCTTCGCTGAGAATTTCGGAGGCTCCTCCACAGTGAATAGCATACGACGCGCAAGTCGAGCAAATGTGCAACGGAATTGTCGACTCATGCTACAATACAAGACGAAGTTCACTGATGATGTAAACAGGGCCAACACGTCCATTAGATCACCTGAGAAATGTGTTTTACCTTGTTAGTTATTTATATTATTTATTTCATTGAATGAAACTAATTTTTACGGATTTTATCGCGTTTAATTTAACTTTTTAATTCCCAACGTTTCGTCGTTTAAAAATCCATAAAAAATAGTTTCATTTAATTTGTAACTAGTTGTAGTCTTCGAGTAAATATAAGAAATTATTTTTTTCATTTAAAAATAGTAATGAGATAAATGATGACTCATTATTCGTTTGTAAAATGGCAATACAACGCGTAAAAACCGCTAAAATATAATTTAGTTTTTGCACTGGCCATTGCATAAAATTTAACCAGTATATTAATTGCATTTATTTAAATATTTGCACGTATACGTGAACTTAATTTAAACAGTATGAGAACGTATTTGTAGATTTTATTTTTATTATTTATTTTATAGTATAAGTGTTACGAACGGGCACATAGTCTACCTCATGGTAAGTGGATGCTGTGACCCATAAAAATCTACATTTATCCTCGATTAAGCATCAAAACGCAGATGCATTGTCACCCCTGAGGACTAAGATGGAATGCCTCGTTTCCTTTAAAAAGCGAGTCCGTTTCTTTACACTCACCATAAGAAACACAGCATCATTTAACTGCTATTTTACGCTGGTTTCTATGAGATCGTATTCTCTCTACCCCGGTCGAGCCGACACATTCGTGCTACAACTATACAATTAATATAGCTGCAGCATGGCTCTACTACGTTTAAGAATCCACCCTTAATACCATATTTTATTACACGATTAAATAATTGTGTAATAATTATATAGTATTCTTTAAATTAATATTGTCCTGTCACGGTTCTTCGAACTGTGAGCTCTGTAGAGCTCGTGTCTATAAATGTTCCCTTGGTTTGAAAGCTTTGTAGAATATTTAGAGACAATGGCAGGAGACCCGACTCTATGACTTTGGATGCTTAAGAGAGAGATAAAGATTTATGCAGATAGGATATATATATATATATATATATATATATATATATGATAAAATGCAGTAATGTGGGATACTTCTTGCGAACACACTTTGGCAGCCAGGGTACCTCGTTTAAAGCAGGGGTGGTATTGTAAAAATATCGCTTCCAATTTGGAAGAGTTATATTGTTTAATTAGGAATAATAATAAAATCATTGAAATTGAATGATTCATAACTTACAAAAAAATTATCAGTACGAGACGTGCGTTACCTAGCAGGGATGCCCGATTTTTAGTTTCGAATCGATCTTCTGGATCGTAGTGGATCGTAACCTCGTGAATCGATTCATGATTTAATCATATTGCGTTGCATCGATCTTATTCGATCTCGGAAAATCGTATCGTAGTTTTATAAAAATAAAGAAGAGCACAGTATGCATACAATATCATTTATTTTAACAATGTCTATTATGGTATCCTGTGAGTATTACGCCTATCTGTTAATGTATTTCCAGCTAGGGAAAGCAGTCTTTCTGAAGGGACCGATGTTGCAACAATTGTCAGATACTTGAATGCAAAACAATTTATTTGGTTGGCGGGGCCATATTAAAAAGTATTTTAAAATAATAGTTTACGCTCACAGAACAGTTCAACTTTTCTATCGCAATAACACGAAGAATGAAAGATCCTCCCACCTCCCACCCTCCCTCAATCGCGCGCACTATACCCGTCGCCGTTAATCCCAGCACTACCACCCCCAGCACCAGCACCAGCACACTAGGTACGACACACCACTCTTGAAATTACGCATATTGTATTGATCGTGGAAGTTGACTTCCTCTAGTACAATGCTCAGCGCGTCTTCTAAAGTCGTTGGCCTCTTTAACCTCACTATTCGAACCATATTCTCGGGAAGATTGTATAGGAATACGTTTAGAGCTGCCTTATTGTAAATTGCCAATTTAGCGCTTTTAAGATTACTATCATCCGATATGTTTACTTTTGAAATTAATAATGATCGAATACTTTGAATGCGGTTACAAAAATCTTGAAAGTTTTCACCAGATTTAATCTTTAAAGATTCTAATTCAATACTAATACACTCTTCGCTACGTGTTCCAATAAGAGTGTGGCCGCGTTATCTGTAAGCCTACTAGTTATAGAATGACAAACGTATAAATTTTGTTCTTCGTCACCTCTCCTATACCTACGATTGACATATTCACATTTCCTCAAAAACAAATTTAACTGTCTTTTGTCGCCATTAAAAAGTGGAATAAGCCGTAGCATTTCTGTAGGAATGGGATTAATTACAACGGTCTGTCGTTCTGCTGCCGTTGGTTGTTCCATCGTTATAATGACAGAAGTCCGATCTCAATAATAACAAATTTAAATAAAAATGAAGGATAATAGTGGTATCAAGGATGGTGAAAAGTTTTACTCACCAACCAGCCGCTATTCCCATGTCTTTCGCTTCCCTCGATGACAAAAATCTTTGGTTCTTTGATTTGCCCAACAGCTATTCGTGCCGCTATCACGAATTCAGGCGAATTTAGATACCTGAATATTTCGAGAGACGGTACAGCCTTAACGAACAAATCCAACCAGCTGCGCCAGTCAAATTTCGGGAACGTCGAAAGGAGTTTTTAAAAACTAAAATACAATTAGATTACTATGTCCGACCGATTTGGAGGTGGCTTTAATAATGAACGATATTCAAAGAGTCCGTTTGTGCGCAGACATTCGACTCATCAACTAAGTACTGGGAACTTACATAGAAATGCTGATGCATTAGTTTTATTGCTTAGTCTAAATAATACAATATTATATATTTTAATATTTTAGTCTAAAACAGAGGGACGGGGTGTATCCATAACTAGATATTCGTCAAAATTCTGGTGTTTATAAACTTGTTTGTGACGAATGCCAAGCCGTTTACGTGGGTCAGACTGGTCACAACTTCGAAACACGTTATAAAGAGCATTTAGCCGCGTACAGGAATTGTAACCCCGATAAATCACATTTTGCTAAACATCTCTTAGACACTGGACACAGCCTATCCAATGTCCACTCCTTTAAAGTCTTACATACTTGTAATAAAGAGCTACGATTGTGTGTGCTGGAACAGTTAGAGATATTAAAAAATAATAACGATAATGTTGCACTGCCGAATGAACAAACAAATGTTTCCAACTCGCCTTTCTTAACCATGTTTAAGCCTGCTCCTATAGCCTCGCAACATGGTCGTTTGTCACTCTCACGGTGCGGTGGTCAGCGTTTGGTTGCGTGGTTGTAGGGTAGGCGGACGTTTCGCAGTAGTTTGTTGTTAATTTCACAGCAAATATCGGCGTACTTCAGGTGGTGTTTGATCGCATGACGTAATCGCTCGCTACGTAATTGGAGCGCGGTTGCGTCAGCAAGTAGTATAAATAGCAGTAGTTTCAGCTCGCCGCTCACTTAGCGGCCAGCCTCCACAGAGTCTACTTCACCTGAGGATGCCTCGTGTAGAGGCGAAACATGTGTCGTATTTTTGAGAGTAGTGTGTCATGCCTAGTGTGCTGGTGCTGGGGGTGGTAGTACTGGGATTAACGGCGACGGGTATAGTTCGCACGATTGAGGGAGGGTGAGAGGTCCCCTTAAAACTGGGCAGGACACATCATTTTCTTTCTTTACGCGTAATTAAGCAAATTAGTTTATAACAACCCCATTGTTTAGGTTTTAGTTTTCGATACGATTTTTTCATACGATCTTATAGGCATACGACTGGTTGAAGATTGTATTCCCTTGAATCGATTCAAAAATCGGTAGATCGTATGGCCGTGAATCGATCTTCCAGAAAATCGATTCAGATCAGGCATCCCTACTACTTAGTGTAAGTTAATTAAACTATGCCTACAACCGTCGCACAAGTGGAAGCAATAAGTTGACAAAATTTTATTGCAATCTGATGAATGGTGTGGCAGTGCATAATATACTTAACATTACTTTTTATATATTAGAAGATGTATTTATTCTGTCTTTAGACATACCTGTAAATAATTAGAATAGGCGTTATATCAGTGTTAATCAATTCTAGTATTATAGAAAACAAATCTTCTATAATACTAGAACTGAATGAACGGTTGACAATAAATTCTAACACCAGTTGAATATTTTACAGTAGTAATTGAATATTTAAGCCTCGCGAATGAACCAATATACCCAATGTTCAAACCCGGAGTAAAATCTGTTCTCTAGTTACGAATAAAAACGTAGATAGACCAACGCAGCGTCGATCTCTGTTTTATGTGAGGTGTAAAGCTTGCGTCTAGGGTATTATTTGATACATTTATACATATTGTTATTGTATTAATATGATACATAAATAGAGTGGACGTTACGGGTAGCCTAGGGTAGATAGTAGGTAGGGTAGGGCACGGGTATATGTTATCACACTGTCAAATTGCCTCATTATGTCACGGTGTATACCCAATCCGCATATTATAGAGGTCAGTGACATGCACATATGAAGGCAAGTGCGTGTGTGCACGCATATATGCATACTTACGTGCGTGAGAGCAAATACGAGTGGGTGCATGTGTGCGTGGGTCCGCGCGTGCAAGCGTGCGAGCGTGCGTGCGAAAGTGCGCGCGGACGCGCGCGCGCGTGGTTATGTGTGTGTGTGTGTGTGTGTGTGTGTGTGTGTGTGCGTGTGTGTGCGCGCGCGTGTGTGTGTGTGTGTGTGTGTGTGTGTGTGTGTGTGTGTGTGTGTGTGTGTGTCAGATCAAGAATATATATAGCGCTATTATAGCGCGAGTGTCTGAAGTCGAGCCGTTGTTAAACAAAGTCTCGCATTAGGGACGACTAAATCTAGTCTAGTGTAACCCTCAAAAGACACAGTTTTGCGCGTTTACCCTTAAAAACCACTTTGTCGTATCTCTTCAATTTCACGGTACTCCCATTGCTGCCTCAGCTAACATCGGAATCCCTGGCGTCGACATTTCGAATGACATGCAGTTTTGTGGTCACTTGGAATGGAAGGCTAAATTTACCACTAAAAAGCATAGCGTGATCAGCAGAGCGGAGCAGTATTTCATGCCGGCACACCAATTGTAACTTTACAAGGCGGAAGCTCGGTCTCACATGGAATACTGTTTTTATCTATAGGCCGAGGCACCTTGACACGCCTTGACCACATCTAGAACAGAGCGGCTCGAATCGTCGACGACCGAGTTCTTTCTGATCGGCTCAACTTACTGGTGCTGCGAAGGGATGTTGCATCCCTTTGAATATTCTGCATTGCTCTGGAGTGCTCTGAGGTATTGTTCGGATTAACTCCAGCCGCCAAATTTCAAGAACGCACATCGCGACTAAACTCGCAATATCATCCACACCATCTGGATGCTTGGCGGTCCACCACTGTGCGTTTTACTGCGAGTTTTTTTCCTCGTACGGCCTCTCTTTGGAATTGTATACCACCGGCGACTTCCGTTTGACCGATACGACGTAAGAACCTTCAATAAAAGAGCTTACTTCTTATTAAAAGGCCGGCAACGCACGTGCAATTCCCTTGATGCTCAAAGACGGCGTTAGTCACTTACCATAAGGTGGACCACCACGCTCGTTTGCCCACTCTTCTAGAAGTCAGTTTTTAAGCTGACGCGAATTGTTTACGTACTGATGCCGATTGTCTTTTGAGTACGTGTATCCCGCGTATGACAAACAAAATTGTAGTACATAAGGAACTTCGCATATTTTTAGTGTAACATTACGTAAATAGGTCCTTATAATAGTATACCGGCATCATGGTAGAGCAACACAAATCACACGAAATAAGTTTTTTTTTGTAAATGTTTGGTAATGTTCATATAATTGGTTTACAATATCATGGCTGGAGGCATTTGCCTTGCAGTGGAAAAATTCCTGTCTAGGCTACTTTGCTGCCTTTGCATGTTTTCTTACAATTGTAGTCTATCATAATATCGTATTTGTCATAAAAATAAATGTTTAGCACGAAAACTGTCTTTGTAATTGTAATCCTATTTATATTATGACTTAGATTATTAAATAAGTACTTATCAATAATCTAAGGATTATTATAACAAAGTAATTAATGGTAAATGCTTTTTTTGTATTCGAATTATATTTAACTAAAATTGTATTTGACTATTATACATAAATGTAAATATCTTTTACCCGAATGTAGTTGCGACCAAAGGAACGTTCATTATTAACTGTTATGTCCGTTCGCCCATTTTTTTAGAGCGTAACTCTTAAAAATAAATGTCAGGATTTAACATATACTCAACAGATTTGTCAAAATTGTTCGGGTAATCTCATCATCATATATTTGACTGCCTTTTTGATCGTAAGAAACGCAACTACTGATCATAAGGTCCCGAGTTCGAATCCCATGTCAGGCCAAAAATCAGTTATTGAGTTTTTCTGTCAAAAAATCTCTGTAGCAGCTCGGAGTCAGAAAGTTGGCGGTATTTCACCCCCATGCTTCGGAAAGCATGTAAAGTCGATGGTCCTGCGCCTGATCTTTTCCCGGTCGTATCAGTTAGCCGCTTCATCCGAGTATCAGAGTGAGGGAATAGAGAGTGCACCTGTGCTTGCGCGTACATTTGGGCACTAATATAATCCTGTCTTGCGCAAATGGCTAGTCTCTATTGAGACTGGCTGCTGCTAGACTGAAGGACATTGTTATGAAGTCAGCAATAAAAATGTGACAGAAATTAACAGCCAGAAATGTACGAGTTCACGTAAATTGACCATATGGATAGTAAAAAATAATTATTTATAACAGTGGAACTATTTTATGCCACAATGTTTTACTACTTTTATCTCGAATTCATTTCACGCAGCCTGTAACATTAACTTACGCTACGCGCTGTTGTCTTTCACCGTTTTAATGAGCCGTGAGATAAAAGTGCGAAATTAGATCAGAATAACAAATACGTCCCACATTTGTCTGTTGCCGAGTTTATAAGACAATTGTATTTTGTATTGCAGTCATAATACTATTAGTTTGACGTTATTTCAAGACTACATTTTTGTGTTGACTCCAAGACAGGAACTCCCTACCAGCGCAGTGGCTTAGCGTTGGATTGTAGCACTAAGAGCCTCGGGTTTGAATTCCGCACGGAATAAATATTTGTATGACCTCCAGATAATTGTTTTGTGTCTGCATGTGTGTTTTGATGGTGCTTCCCGTCGCCGGTATAGATATTTTACATAATATGGACTAGCATACGAGATATTTTTTCCATCATATATTAGAAGACTCTTTCTCATAATCCCGTAAGAAGTAGCGTTAGAATTTCCACCAGCCTATTTCATCACATGGGTGTCGTAAAAGGTTATGCTAAAACCCAAAAATGGGTATCGGTATAATCACCTCGTTTAAGCCAAATGTAAAATATCAAAGACGCGTGGTGCAAGATGTACGGTAGTGCGATCTCCTATTCGCCTGCCAAGCGGCAAATTCTTCCTAACTGGAAACGCTGATTAATAAGAAGAAGATATGAGTAGGTACCAAATGCTTTGCACCTTTGGCAGTGCTTCTTGCCACTACTCTAGGAATTTTCATAGTGCGAAATAATTTTACCGCCACATAATGTTATAATCAGAACCTTTAACACCTTTCTTTAGTAGACTCCTATGATATATAATATCGCTATCTAAATAGCTCTTTGATGTAGATTCGGCACTGTCGACAAACCGCAGTGGTTTTTATCGGTGCTATTTACATGTTTAGCTTTAATGCACCTATCATATCATATTAAGTGATAAACAAATTCAAAATATAAAGGCACGATCAGTTACTATGTCGCTTTAATGTACTGAAAAAAGAAGATAGCAAACATTATAATAAATTTAATAGCTAATTCGGAATAATTTCAATTCATATGATTTAGTGACAAATATAATACATTGAAACATAATAATATAAGTCTATATGCAAAGAATTTTAGCTTTGATTCGGTATTTAAGGATTTTAAGGTGTCATTTTATGTTTTTGCTTTATATATTATAAAATCTTGTTTTTAATATAATAGTTCTTAAAAACGTTCATATAACTATTATGTAGTCATATTGTTTTCTAAGCAGTAGTAAATTTTAATTTCTTTTAAATTTTTTACTAATGATGTTGCATAGAGTAGAATGGAGAATCCGCTAACTTTGACAACAATGGAAAAAATAATAATAGCTTATACGTAGACACTTTGCATTATTTGAATATGACATCATGTGTATTGTTCACATTAAGAATTATAAAATACAGAACAGCAACTACAAACATTTTAGCGTATAAAGAAAAATGGTGGATTTAAAATAATTGATAAAAATCTTTGTACAATAGAGTAGATAACTGTTGTTTATTTTGTATAAATCGGCGGAGTAACCTCGCACAAACATGTTGATAATAAAAATAACTTCAAAATTTAAGCAAACAATACTTATTAGAAAAGTTTAGTAGTCACCGCAAGGTTTTTTGTAAATCAATTATATTAGAAAATATGCAAAGATATAATGTTGTTTTATAAAGAAATCGAGACGGCAAATAAATATTAAATCACTAGATAATACGGTTTCATTTTATTCATTTTACGTAACTTAACATTGAAATAGATGTTAATTATTTTAGGCACTAAACAACAAACACCATTTCATATTTTTTAGACCCCTAAATTGCAAAATAATGTTTAAAATAATCAATCTCGAAATGGTTTAAAAATCAACATGGCTTATAATTTTCTTTACATATTCAATTCATCATCATTAGAAGCCCTGGACATAGCCAACCACTCCTTACATAATTTATTATTTTGTCAAAATCCGAACAAAATTTGTAAGTTACAACAGTATAAATACTCAGTATAAGTAATCACTTACTCACCATACGAAACACAGCGGTATTGAGCTGCTATTTTACGCTGGTATTTTGTGAGAGCCGACCCATTCGTGCTACAACCATAATATAGCTGCTGCATGGCTCTACCACATTAGAACACTCTAACACTTACTCAAATGCCATTACTTTGTACTATACTTGTTTGGGACAATTTATATCTAGAAGCGTTTAAATCTACACTTAACACATACGTTGTCATATTTAAAACAAAGAATAAAATAATAATCTGTTTAGATATTGAAATAAATATCATCACAAAAGTGTTTAAATTTATTTCATTTTTTGGAGAGGAGGATTAATGTTTTTAAACTCAAGCAAAAACATTTAAGACCATTTCAAGTTATACTTACCGAACATACTATAACAGCTTTTGAAGAAATCTGGTGCTAAAGCACTTGCAAGACCGAGGAGTCCTTGTGGTACCTCAGTTGATAGAAAAAGGCCAAGCACAGCCAAAAGCATTCGCGTCGTGCGATCTGTACGACTAGAACGCCGCGCATTACTTGATTCTTCCGCCAAGCATTGTTTCTCAGCCTGAAAATTTATTCAGTTACTAAACAAATTTTTCAATTCTAGCTTAGAGCTAGTTTAAAATACTTAATCAATAACTACTATGTTCCTGTTTTTATTCTTCAAAATTTATCCAATATTTTAGAAAATGTAATTTATTTAACTATAAATTTCAAGTACATACCTACATGCGCACTGAATACTTTTTGTTTAATGTTCACGAGTTATTAAAAATAATATAAATAATGCGAAAGAAAAAATATGAAAAACGTAAAGGTTATATTTTGTTCCTTTTTGTTAGACATGTATTTGAGATAGTATTAAAGTGCGCGCAAGGTAACTCTGCGCGCGGCCAAAGTTGAAACTAATCGTGTGCTGCCATCTTACTGTTTATGCCAGGTGTCAATACAGATGCAGAATACAGTGTTAGGTGTCGTATTTTTATTCGTTTTTGTAGTAAATAATCTTAGCATTATCCCGAAAGTGATTAAAAGTGCTGGTAGGGATGTCATCTTGAAGGTCAAACTTGCTTGTGAAGAAGAACTAGACAATAACAGGCATTTTTGACAGATAATTTTTAGGGCTGCCATAACAATAAAACTCCCCAATTATCTCGATTTGTTCATTATTAGTTTCCTCGTGTCATTAATATCATGTATAATAATGCATAGTTTTAATTTTGTTTTAGGCGTTTCTGAATACACCGTCACCCAGATAACTCAAGAGGGTTGTGTAGCAGCAGCTTCACATTCTAAAGTTGTGACGCGGGGAAAAACTAGGAACCGCAGGATTTTTTTTTATAATTCTGACGTTTTTGTTATGTGCGTAAGGAATTTAATTCAATCGTTTTATGTCGTGAAAAAAGAGATTCCTACAATTAATAAACATTGGTTAGAATTGAAAGCTAATATTGATTTTAAATATGGCAGAACATCCTTGAGGAGTATTTTAAAGACTATTGGCTATCAATACAAAAGGTGCCAGTCTAAACGAAAAATATTGATAGAACGCAGTGATTTTGCAGCTTGGAGAGCAAAATATATTCTGAGGCTGTGCAAGAATCTTTAGGAAGCAAATCGACCGGTCATTTATGTTGACGAAACGTATATACATGCTTCACACCACCTTCAAAAATTTTTTGTTTTGTTGGCGATTAGAGAACAGCCTGTTATTCTTGCTTCTGATAGCGTCGGTGTAAGATGGTTCATGGTGGAGGTAAACTGGGTTTGGTGAAAACGGACTGCTATTGTTCAGGTCTAAATCCAAATTGAATGACTATCATGATGATATGAATTCCGCTAACTTCATGCGGTGGATGAAAGAAAAATTGTGTAAAATCTACCAAAGAATTGCATTGTGGATAATACATTATACCACTGCACATAGATAAACAAGGGGCCTACAAATAGCAATAAAAAGCAGATCTCCAGGAATGGCTTACGAGAAATGGTATTAAATTTAGCGATTGTTGGACAAAAGAGCAGTTATACGAATTAATCAAAAAACACAAAGGAGACCCACAGTAAAATAGAACAAATGCTAAATGAACATAGACATGAGTTATTCCGTTTTACGCCTTACCACTGCGATTTAAATCTCATGGAAAATTTTTGGGTAATAGTAAAGAGGCGCATTACAGAGAAAAATATCACTCAAGCTCCTAGCGAAATACCTGCAATTACTAGAACAGTAAAGACAGAAGAATGGCTCAATGTATGTTTTCATGTAGAAAAAATAGAAGATAAATATTATGAATCAGATAGGGTGATGGATATGGAAATGGATATATTTATAATTAATGTTACAGGTGACACATCGGAGTTTTTTGATGAAGACTCTAGCATGGATTCTGGTGCAAATGCACACTGCAGAACCATTGTTAGACCAAATTTACAAATAATACAAGGTATTCAATAAAAAATTTACAAGGTTTCCACGGAGTTTTAATTTCATTCTAATCTTAGTAATAGTTATTTCTAACACGCATATAATATCATCATCTGTAGTTATTTAAAAAAAAATGGAAGTTAAATTTGACCAATTTACCGGTTTTCGATGGAGCTGAAATTTTGTATAATATACGCATAGAATTATTGCCCAGTAGAAACGCAGTCTAGTACAAAATACGAGCGTCAATGTGACTCAGGGTTATTATGTTAGTGTGCGTGAGTCAAATGTGCCTACGCTCATCATACGCACACATACACGGCATTCAGTGATACCAGTTTCTGGCATTTGCAATCAAATTGTGCAAATCGCAAATTTATTGATTAATTATTATTAATCGATAAAATAAAGATTACGTATTACATACGATGACGTATTTTATGAGAATTTAAAATGTAATAAAATAAACACGATAATGATGGTACTAATATAAATTTATTACCCATATTTTAATGGTACAAAAATGCAGACGTAATAAAATTTAAGGATATTATGTTATACAAAATTATTCGATCGAATGCAATAATTTAATAATTGTATAATGTTTAATTTTAACCGATTTCAAAAAAAGGAGGAGGTTCTCAGTTCAGTGTATTTTTTATATTTGATACCTCAGAATTGCGTGCTTATAAATTGATTTGGATTTTTTCTTATTTGAAAGAAAATATACACGCTAAAATTTTAATGGTTGTTTTTAAAGTTACTCGCTTTTAATTGATAGTAAATAAAAAGTCTTTATTTTATAGTCTAAAACTTTTACTTGGTCAATGAACAAAACCAATTGTTAATATTATGATAATACTTAGAGTACATTTAAACGTTTCAGAAAAAAAAGTGAAACGTGTTTTTTTAGTTTTTGTCTCATACTCACTCGCATAAATTAAACGTTTTCAAATGGTTTTAAGCAATAAATTATATTAACATAAGTCTTACAATAGAAACTTGTGCAGTGTAGTGTCAAGAAATATATTTTAATAAATATATTTCTTGACACTACATAATTGCGGATCTTAAACAATAAATACTCATAGGATTTAAAAAATTATTTGGTCTTTGTAAGTTTAAGCTGAACATTACAGCTTTTTTTTTGAGCTTCTTCATTAATTCGGTCATGTTTGTAATTTGATATAATTATATAATTCGATTAAATGAAGGAAAAAAAATTTAGTTAAGCAACATTAAGTACGCCATCAGCCGCGCGCAAAGTTATCATGCATGTATTTGAAATAGTATTATTGCTTGTAGAGGTCGCTAAGATAGATACGTTTTTTTTTAACTATGTCTCATTTGTGTACAGTCCGAATTTTAGATTAATTTAATAGCATTAAATGTTTCCTTTTTAATAGAGTTACTATAATATATTTCGCATATTTATTGTAACTAAACAAACAAGAATTTATTTTGTTAATATTTTTCCTTTTTCATCTAAAGTCGTGATTTATTTTATCAGATTAAGACAACATAATTCCATTTTTCACATATTTATTGTTACTATACAAACAAGATATTATTTTGTTGATATTTTTCCTTTTTCCTCTCAAGTCGTGAGTAATTTAATCCGGTTAAGACTATTATATACACTAATAGTATTACTTACATCATTTGGTCCAACTATTGATCGCTTAAGCAGCTTTTGTCTTCTTCTTTCTGTTGTTGTCAACTTTGATATTAAACAGGTACTCAAAATTGATAAAGCTATACTTGGAACTAATTTTAATATAACACTATATATCCACATTATTGCAGTAACCAATTCTTTGTTTTTTGACATTTCTAGAACATACACAGTTCTATTGTGAGGTAATAATAAGTCTTCCGCGAACTCAGAATTATTCTGAGGTGTTACTTCACTTGGCACTATATTCATTGCGAAATAAATAGGAAGACACAAAAATGGACATATCACATAGGCGCTTACTATAGCAATTGTTGTATTTTCTTTACTACACCATGTTCTATTTTTTTGTGGAAAAGCAATTGCAATATAGCGCCATACAGCCAACGTTACAGCTAGCCAGATTGAGATAGTATGAAACGTTTGACTAAATATTGAATGAAAATATACGAAAACGGCCCAAGCATACGTGTTTTTGTTTACTTCGGGACCAATTTTTATATTCATATGAAGAGCGTAAGGTATGTATTCCAACATAACAAGAAGATCAGCAACTGCAAGACCTGTAAGTATGGAATTGGTAGAACTGATCATTTCTCGCTGGCTCAGAACGGTTATATTGATGGAATTAGTGGTGGATCCAATGATGCATATCACTAGTGCAATATAGCCATGTAATCGGCTATATGCTTTATTAAATTCAGTGGCACCTGGCACACAATACGCATCGGTAGCGTTAGCCATAGTGCGCTCCCCGCCAGTCGTCACATCTTGTCACGGAGCTACCAATATTGGATTCATTGTAATATTATCCAAATATTTTTGTATCGCGTGGCATCGTTGTAATCTATAACAATACAAGAACAATGTTAGAAACTTATAATAAATATGTGTATATATGTGTTTATATATTATACACTCCTAAACGCCTGGACCGATTTCGATGATTTTTTATATGTTTGAGTGTGTCTTTTGATGACTTAGATTCACAATAGTATTCGGTAGGTGGCGCTGTTTTCGAAATCCAGAAATCAGCCGTGCGAAGTCGGTGCGGATCGCTAGTATATTATAAAACTAACGATAAACCGTCATTATCATTAGAATGAAATGTTTAATAAGAAATTAATCATGTAATAAATCGAAAATGAATAAAATTTATTTAAGTTGTCACAAAGATAAACTGTATTGTGTTAGAGACATCTCACAATAGTCTCAAGGTCTTAAAACAATGACGCTTGCTGTTTGTGAACAAAATGTATATATTCAGGGATCAAACAGCTGTCATATCAGTTAGGCGTTTTTTATGGTTCTTTAAATTCGTAGTCATACATTTAACACAATATTATGTATGTAAAATTATTTTCATATGCCATCGTCTATTAAATATAAAACTTCCTCTATAATAATTTAACATATTATTTTGCTTTAATATTGCCCATTTGTCTTTTTCCTTTTTAGCAAAGTAAAATCAAGTTAGAGCCTATTAGGTCTCACTGCTGAGTACTTTAAACAGTCGTAGCACTTTTTAAAGAGTTTTTACTAAGGGATGTCCACCGCGCTGCCCCAATGCATGTTTGCTGATTTTACATGCCTTTTTTTTTAATTTGTCATTCATGCAAACCTCGTCACTATGTTTCCTTTTCCGCCGAACACGTGATAAATCATCACGTAAAAGTACAATCAACAAATATAGCGACCACGAAGCCCCTGAGCTGGCCCGGCTTTTTGCAAATTGTCAAATATTGTTATATAACATGTTTCAGTAATGTGGAGGCTGAATGTTATAAAACGTGTAATATAACGTGACACAAATGTTATATAACTCGAACGGCAGAACGAAAAACGACAATGTCATACTACAATGTCATAACATTGTTATATTGCATTGTTATTATGTGTACAGTATTGTTATATGTTGCAATGTTAAAAACAATGTTACATAATGTGGACGTGTTATAAAACAAAAGTTACACAACATATTACTTAATCTGTACGCAACCTAAAGTACACAGTGTAGTTACTAGTGTACGTAACTATTTTTACGTAAACTTCTTTAGTATTTCAAAAGTGTAATTTTACAAATGTAAGTCTTAGTATTTTATCAAAAATCATATATATTTTTTGTGAAATGAAACTAGTTTTACGGATTCTATCGCGTTTTATTTAAATTGTTAACTTCCCACGTTTCGGGTGCTTTACAGCAACTCAGACCCCGTGACCATGGGTGCTGTTAAAAACGTAAAAATTAGTTTATTTTATTGTGTACTGTTCGCGTAAATGTAAGAAGTCATTATAAAATACTCGTATTTAAAAAGTTTATCGCAATAATTTAATAAGTTTCTGAATTTTATTCTTATTTTTTTTATTTACCCTTATCGTAGGCTAAGAAATACTACGAATAAACAAGATCTAAGATAAAAGGAAAGTAGTTTAAGATTTAAAATTATCAAACAGTTACAAAATAGTTTGAGTACTCTAGCCAGAATTCTTTTGTTATTATCTCAAATAACTTATTATTTATAAACATGATTAGTTAACGATTGTTATTAATAAGTTTAAATAAATTAATTGTTAAGATGTTACTGGTGCTGTGGTTGACTGCTAGCTTTAAACTTTACACGAGCAAAATTAAAAAGGAGTTAAGAGTAAAGTTTAAAATGAGTACGGAAGGGGCAGGGCAGGCAAAAGCATCGCCAACAGCCCTTCGACCTAGCCTAAAGACGTTACGTCACCGCACTCAAAATTGGTATGAAATTTTCCATCGTCTTAATTTTAGTATAAAATAGCAATGTGGTAAATGTATAAAATTAAGGTAAAGCTGCGCTGCACTGCTGCAATGCGTGTTGGCAAGTTTCACATGTCTACAAAAAATTTTTTTTCTTACTTCTCGGACACGCAGGTTTCCTCACGATGTTTTCCTACATCGCCAAACATGGAAAATCAGCACTCAAAATTGCAACTAACCGTGCTGGCGGAAATCAGACTCGCGTTGTTCACGTACTCTCCGAGAGCTCGTGACGCATTTTTCATGAAGTGTTTCATGCATCATGAAACTTTACTTTTGATCACGTGATCCGGATTGGGAGCGCGAAGAATGAATAAGAAGATATCGGCGACCGTCCGTAGTACATTTGTCTCCTGTCCACGCAAGATTTATTTAAATACTAGCTGTTCCCCGCGACTTCGCCCGCATGTAATATTGGGTCTTTTTTTTTGCGCGGAGCCCTAATAATTTTTCTAAAATAAAAGTAGCCTAAGAAACTCCTTATAACATCAGCTATCTGCCAGCAAAAGTCTCGTCAAAATTGGTCAAAAAATAAACACGCTGTAAAAATGGCAGATTAAATCAAACACTTTTTTTGGAATTTTTCAAAATACAACTTTGGCGTAGTCTGCCCTTACGTCAATGCCTTCAGAAGTGTCTGCCATTTTTTTTTCTTAATTCTTTATCAACTTATTTGACGGATAGTCATTATAATTATTGAATTAAACACCTTTTTAGGCAATTTTTTTTGCCCCTAACCTGTATGCGCAGTACCAAGTGTACCTGGGTAGGCCAGGCAAACAGTCATATACCTGCTTATTGAGTGAACTGGTAGTTTTCAACAAAGTTTCATGATGCATCAAACGCTTTATCAAAAATAAGTCATGAGCTCTCGGACAATACTGTGAAATTTACAGCGAGAGCTAAACCCCTGAGCTACCACGGCTTTTTCGGTAAAAGTGTGGGAGACGTTTTTAGCCCAGGAGTCCGACTTATATATCCATGCTGCCTATAACCTAGACGAAGCCAAGAAAGGACAGGTATTAAATCTGAAGGTATTGTAAAGCATGCAGCTGTAAAGAAACCTAATGAAAATAAATCCCTCAGACGGGTATACAGCGACTAAAGTAAATTGTTTAAGTTTAACGCTGATTAGTTTTTCTCCTCCCAGTAGAAATATTTTTACCGTTACACCTGCTGCTTTCATTAACCTTTTAAAGTAAACATTTACAAAAGTAAAAGCCACCTTCAGAGAATTAAAAAGAATAATAAAAAGAATAATTTCACTTTGTGAAGTTTTAATTCTTCTATACACTTTTATAAGCTTTTTATTAAAAGTTAATTTTTTACCCATCTAATTGGACTAATGATCATAATTACAACACAATGAACAAATTACAATGTTAATTACAATCTCAAAATCATTTAAATAGTTACATTGAAAACTTCAACCCCCTTTTTGCCACCCTTAGTGGTGGATTTTTTCTTTAAAATGATATGAGAATATTATTATATAGAAAATGTAACCCATCTGCCAATGAAAACCATCAGAATCGGTTAACCATTGACAAAGATATCGCGCAACATACCAACAAAAAAATTGCCGAACTGTAAACCTGTTTAATGTAGCCTAAATAGAAAAAAAACGCGTTAGTGTCGTGGAACACTCGGTTCGAACGAAGTTCCTTTCGTAGTATATTATTATTGATAAACGTACTATATTTTTGACTAACAGATACAAATAAATGAATTACTAGCACCAATTAAAATGAAACTTCATTTAAAATAAAATAATATTTCTATCATGGCAAGATAATAAAAAGTGCAAGTGAGATGGATATTATTATCTAACTCGCTTCCTTGTGGCCGCCAAATTCGTACCGTCCGATAAGAAACTTCGTTCCACAAAATAATGGTTCGTGAATCCTTAGCCACGTTGGAGTTTCCTTTTAACTCAACTTGTAACTGACTTCAAATAATGAATACTACAGAAGCGTTTTCACCTTTGGGGACTAAGAACACAGCAGTGATAGCGTCTCTATTTGGCGGTAGTTACGTGGTAGAGCCATGCTGCTATATATCTGGGATAGTTGTAGCACGAATCGACAGGTGTGGGACCACGCTCTCATAGAATACCAGCGTAAAATAGCAGGTCAACGCTGCTACCTTTCGCATGGTGAGTGTAGAGAATCGGAGACCCTTTTTACTGGAAACGAGGCATTCCATCTTAGTCCTCACGGATGACAAGGCATCTGCATTTTGATTCGCAATCAAGGATAGATGTAGATGTCTTTGGGCCACAGCAACCACTTACCATCAGGTGATCGTCATCTGTGTGCTCGTTTATCACCCTATCCTATAAAAAAATAGATAAGCGGGAGAGACTTACCTAGATGGACATCTAGGCTCTATCACCTGGTAAAGGGTTATTTACTTCAAGTCGAAATTCTAATAGTTATCTTAAAATTTAAAAAAAATACTACTTGGACTTGTTCCACAGGTTCGACGATGAACGAGAAGTGAATAGAGCTAGAAACTAGATGAAAATTGGCGAGCAGTGAGAAGAGAGTGTGCAGTTCCTATAGCTTTGACGCTGGTCGACAAAGAAGAAACAAGGAAGAGAGCGAGTGCACTTGGACCGCATTGTAGAGTAAAATATACACTGGTTGGTCTCTCGGCGTAAGATTTGACCGCCAAGCGAGCATCGCTGAGTAAGTTTTATCTTTGATGGCTCTTGTCGCTGCGACGAACTAGTGGAAAGAGAATTCTCACCGGCAATGTAAACAGCCAGCGATCGACCATTAATATATCTCTTTTAACACGTGATATATACCTATTGTTCGTTTCTTGAGCGAGAAAATAGTCGACAGCCAATCGCTTCCTCGTTGGCGGTGGAACAAGTGCCTTAGACGTCTACTTATCTTAAAGCTACTTAATTCAAACTTTACAATAAAACTTTATAAAAGCACTAGAATTTCAT